CCCCGGGGGTGTGAGTGCATGTCAGGGATGAGCAGACTGTAAAAAGCTTTCCTCCACCACCAACAGAAACATTTCAGCACTGCTCTGCTGGACTCCGCCGGTCCCTGAGCTTTTTTCTGAGCCTCTGCATTTTGGGAATTTGCACTCATTTGTGCTTCTCTGTAGTTTTTTTTTCATTTGCTTTTTCTAAAATCCACTCTTGCTACTGTTTATCTGGCCCTCCTCACCTTTGCAGTTATTAAGTCAGATCCTAGCCGGGGTGTTTGTATGCCTCATTGTCTGCACATCTTCCTTTGTGCTTGTGCAACCTGAACAGTCACAATCAGAATCAGGTTTCATGGCCGACCATGCTGAAAAGAACAGGAGGAATTTGTTTTCTGGTTTTGAACTGCTTCTTGCTGGCAGAAAAAAAAGAGAAAAAAACTAAATAAAAACAAACTCCACGCTAAATGTAAGAGGAGGAAAATCCCCCACCAGATTTGAACACATTTGACTCCTGTTGTCAGTAAAACAGGTTATGCAGTCGATTGTGTTGTTTATTTGTCTCGCTGCTCCAGCCATTTGTCTCAAAATGGGAAATAAACACAGCAAAACAAACCACAAGGCTTGTTTTTAGGAGAGTGGCCTCCACAGCCAGTCCTTAGTCCAAGTCCCATCAGTATATCTTTTTCCTTTTCCTCTCCTGTCAGCAACATAGGCTAACCATGGTCTGTGATCAGTTAAGAAACCAAGGCCCGTTGAGGTCAGTAGCTGTGTTACTACATCATCTAGCCCATGCTACACTTGAGCTGCCTGTATAGTATTGTTGGTTATAAATCTCCTCTGCTGTGTCATGTGAATTTTGGCTAGCAGCGCGCTTGCCTCTGTCTCTAAACACAGATTTCCATTTTAGTGGAGAGCTGCTACATCCAGAAACGTCTTTTTGTGTCCCAGTTCCGGCAGATGGTTGAGAGACATGATGGGCATCGCAGCCGGGGCGAGTGTCCAAAGTCATGTGGTCAGTTAATGTGAAGGCCAAAGCTTACTGAGTCAGTAACTTTGAGTGCATTTCTGGTTTTAGCCCCAAGCGCAGAGGTATGACAGGATATTTTATGGCTGTTCGTGACATCCTGTACCTGTTTCTGCACAAAGCAAGGCAGATCTTTACCCCTCACTTCCTATTTTGGCCAGCGGAGCAGACACTTGCCACTAAACTCTATTAGACATCTGGTTTAATATTTCCCCCCATTCTTCTCTCCTGGATGTTTCCAAATTCATTGAGGTTTTTCTGGTCACTCCAATTTTCCACTGGCAGCTAGTGAGGCTATCCCAGGGTGGTTCCTCCTGGAGGGCTGTCAGAACTCTGGGGCTTGCCTCTTTAGGGATTTTTCCTGCTCTTATGGGTGCTTTTCCTCCTCCAAGGTGCACCAGTTTCAAGTCTCATAGTGCAGTAACGTCTACATTTGCAATCATTTTTCTCGCGTGTGATCTGCATGTGGGATGTATATTTTTTCCTTGAGAAGTTCATAACTCAGTCGACTTGAAAATGGGCTTGAATCTATGGCTTAGGGACCCACCCTTTCTCTGGAAACTGCCTTTATCCTGTTTTAACCATTACAGGGACGTTCCCCTTTGTGTATCTATGTGAAAGTGAAAACATGTTTTTAACAGTGGACTAGTGCGAGGACGGGGGGAATAGTGTGAGCATGCAGTGTATTTTTATTATGTGGCCTGTCACTGAGCATTGCATGTGTGTGAATGCATGAGTGCATACGAGCGGCTACATTTGTGCTTGTGTGTATCTGTGTGTGTGTGTGTGTCTGAGGTGGGGGCAGCAAAATCTTACCACAAGCTGGTGGGGCACAGCGCTGCTGCTAACCAAAAAAGCAAGTGGTTGTGAGTCAGTCCCAACAGGGCAAACCTGTGGCTATGGTATAAGCTCTGCAGAGCCAGTCCCAGGATAGGAAATTAACAGTGGCTTTGGGTGAAAACATCCCTGAGAGTTCAGGAAGTGCCCCTGGGACTAGAATAAGAAGTGTGAAATCTCTCAGAGGAGGAAATGAAATGGAAAACAGCTGTAAATGGCTGCATAAATACCTTATATTTAGCCCCCATGTAAATTAAACTGTTTAAATAAAGAGATGAACGTTTATAAAATCCTGTGTTTAAGTGCCGTTAGTATCCTGCATCACCTAAAAGAGTTATTTCCAGGTTACAAGGGGCAACTGGTGGCTCTTGTAAACGAAGCAGACTACATGCAATGCAGGCAATTAGACAAACAGTGTCTAGATCTCCTGAGTGTATCAGTAATTTCATTTTTGTAAAATTACGCTCAGTCAGAAGACAAAAGGGACCAAAATGGACAATTCTCCACGGACAGTCTCATAAGACTCAGAACCAAAAGCCTTATTTATGTTTTAATAACAAAAGCCTAATGTGGCCTAAATAAAAATAAAAATAATATATAACTAAATGATAATGGTATACACAATGATAATGATATATACAATTATGTATTATAAGAGCCTTCGTTTCTCTCTATTCCTGTTGTCATGTGGATTCAAATCCATTGAGCTAGCTTTACTGGGCTAGTAGAGCTTTGTCAGAAAATTAGATTAATTCATTTTTGTGTTTCAGATAGTTTAATTACTTTTAGAAGTTTTTGTTGAAACAAAAACCTTTTATATGCTTATCCCCAATAGGTATGCAATGACAACACATGCCAGTAACTTAAGTGACAAATGCTTCATCAGTACTTATTTTCTTTCTTTCTTCCTAGAAAAAAAAAGTTAACATCACCTCCTTTACGATCTCCTGAGGACTTGTATGTTTTATAGACATTTTTCTTGGCTTCACAACACAGGTGTTGCATTTTTTTTCTCTCAGTTTGGAAGTATCTTGGATTGTGCTTCCCTGCAGCTCTGATGTAATCACTTCCTTCATTTGCTTCCTTTAGGATATCTATAATGTGCACATATCTGAGTCTATTGCACCCACAATATATTGATCAACTCAGTTGTACATTAGTGTTTTACAAAATGATCAGTGGTTTGAGCTCCTGGTCAACTCTTAAAATGTTCTTTTGTATTTATATTCCATGCTGCTGATGGCATCTGGCCGGTTTGAGCTTGTTAAAGACAAACTGAGGAGCAATAGTGCATGCAAGGACTTGACCGGTTATCATTCCATAACAATTACTTTTTAAATAAATCATTAGAGCTCATCTATCAGGAGAAATAGATCCATTGCCGAGAAATTTCTTAATCTTTATTCACCTCCACAAACTGACAACTCCTTCTATGTGTGACATGAACTACTAACATCCAGAACCAGGGTTTTATTGTGTGTTTTTTTTTCTTAACTGGTCAGGAGAATATCCTAGCTGTTCCTTTGAAAACCATAACTGAAATGACAAATGAAAAAGGAGCCTTTGGCTCAATGAAATGCTGGAAAGAAAACGGATACATTTTACCTGGAGAAGTTTCAATAGTGGCAAGTGAGTACATTACACAACGCACATCAAGGACTTACAAAACATTCCTCTTCCAAAGGCTGAAAGGCCCCTTGAAACACTCTGTGGTTTGCCTTGTTTCTGATGCTCAGTCCCTTCCAGATTACTGCCACTTGAAGGGAGAACAGGCTTGTAATAACCCACAGCCCTCTTTAGAGCAGGAGGTGCCTTTTAAGTCAGAGCCTTCTCTACACATTAGGAGAGTAGTGGAGAACTCTGAGATATTTAGGCAGGGAGAGGAATTGTCTGGAGTGGTTGTTGTCATCATCCTTGTGGCCAAATGCGTCCCCCGGTTGTGTGTGAGGCTCCTTTTTCGTCCGAACATCCATCATTTATGTGCCACATAAATGTTGGTATGACAAGTGTGTGACTTATTTCAGTGCTGACGCGGTAAATCATCAGACTATAAACTACAGACTATATGTAGGAATTGGATTAATCATTTACGAAGAACTGCCCAATGTTTTCAGCTTATTGCCACTCAGATGTGTTGGTCCTTTACAATGATATAAGACCTTTTCATTATTTCCGATTTAAGGGGTTTAATAACTTCCTACCTGATGCTTTAACGGCAGCACTTTTTTATTGCTTTTTTATGTTTTCTGTAATCTGATTTGTGCTGCTCAGGTCCGGAGAGACCTGACCCCTATCCCAGATCTCACAAATCAAGAGGCAGAGAATGTTGTAGGGAGGTGCAAACATGCAGTCTGACAGGCATACCCATCGGCAGCTTAGAACTGATTAAATTAGGATATATTTCTCGGAGGAAAATGGTAGACACAAGTTCCTCAGTCGAGATACAAATGAGGAACTTGCTGCTGGGTATTAACAACTGCCCACATGAAAACATTTCATATTCAACTTATGTAATTGTTCTAATTTCTTTTTCTCAAGACACACAATTGAACACGTTTCATCACAAAAACCCTCAAGAAAAGGGGTCACAAGGTCAATTCCATGTTCAAGGAAACATATCTAAATACATTGGATCTCGACGTAGCTGCTTATTCGGTCTCTTGCACTCTTTTGTGACGTTCGTTTTTCTCTGGCAACTCAGAATGTTTCCCCTCTCGTCTGTAATCGGTTGGAGCGAGGCAGTGAGACCTGCAGACCCCAGCTGTGTGAAATGTGGGCAGCAGTACAAGGTGCTCCTGCGGAGGAATTCAGCACTTTGGACAGCACCTAGACCAGCTCTCCCTACTCTGGAATTCCAGCGCTGCACTCTTGCAGGCCGGGCCCAAGGATTTTGCGGTCGGAAACAAGACCACATTCTTACCAAGGTGCAGGAGGGAAACTGTTTCGGAAAGGGGAAATTGAAATTTGTGACTTATCAAGACAAAACGTGCCAGACTCTGAATATCGGGCGCTGTTAGAAAACAAAGGAACTCTCCGCACCGCTTGGTATTGAGGCGCGCGGAAAGTTTGGATTTAGCTGTGGAACGACGTTGGACTTGCTGTATTTCATTCTAGGTCGTCTAAAAAAAATAAAAAAATCTCCTCTCTCCCTCAGGCAGCCGGGAAGCGGCTTTCACCTATGCCATCACGGCAGCGGGGGTGGCCCACGCCATCACGGCGGCGTGCAGCCAGGGCAACCTGAGCCAGTGCGGCTGCGACCGGGAGAAGCAGGGCTATTACAATCAAGAGGAAGGCTGGAAATGGGGCGGCTGCTCGGCGGACATCAAGTACGGCATCGAGTTCTCTCGCCGCTTCGTAGACGCCCGTGAAATTAAAAAGACTCCCCGACGCCTGATGAACTTACATAACAACGAGGCGGGCAGAAAGGTAATGGAGGCGTCTCAGATTTGAAGAGAAGTGGTCCTGGTAAAGTAGCATCTCCTTAAATCAAACATCTTTGTCATCAAATGATGATTTACGAGGTGTTTAGTGTCAAGCAAAAGGGTCCCCTGTGTAAATCTGCATGTTCTCCCTGTGGGTTTTCTTTGGGTGCTCCAGTTTTGTCCAAAAACATGCATGTTAAGTTAATTGATTATTATAAATTGTCATGAATGTGAGTGCGCGTGGTTGTTTGTCTCTGTGTGTCCCTGTTATGGATTGGTGACCTGCCTTTCACCCAAAATGTGGAACTGTACTGGATGTGAGGCTTTAGACATGTTATCAAAGTCACACAAAAAAAACCAATGAGCAGAATTAAATCTTAAAATTGGGTTTGCTCATCAATGACATAAAATAGTGCTCCCCTAAAGATTTTCTCAAATGTGTGCTTCCACATATTGATGCAGAGATGGGTGTGTCGATGTTTTGCAGCGAAGAAAGACAAACAGTCCCAGAAGCAGTCATGCAGTCATGTGATAGACGACTGTGATTGATCAAACTGAGTAATTAATCGCCCCGTTAACCTTTCGGCAGCTTGTTTAGCCTCGGCCAATTATTGTGATTTCCTTTGATCCGAGGAGGGAATCTTTGATTTATGAGATCATATGTTGGGAAACTTAATTTTGGGCATGTTTGTTTGCCATTAATCCTTCCAGAAGAACCATTGAGGATAGATACAGAGATAAAGTGTGAGGGGTATTTAAAAGAGAAGATGGTATGCTGACAAATGGATCTCATTAATAACTTGGACTTTATCTCGTCCACTGGAGTGTGGCCACTGGCTGCCAGATGGAGGACAGCCATTCCTCCTTTCCAGGTCCTTTCATGGAATTATGAAGTGTAAAATTAGGAACAGGATATTATTGCAGTTGTCTGCACAATACCAAAACATGTCACTGCCATTTGACTGCCCCTATTCAGAGTTTGAATCAGTTCAACAATGGCGGTGTTAACACAGCAGACTGATAGGGTCTGCGCTGCATGCCACGGTGTTGGCATGTTGATCTGTCAGAGCTGGCACTGTTCCTGTTCTCACTCTGAAGAGCAGGAGCCCAAACGTATTCATTCATTCACAGCGTATCGCTTGCTTGATCGCACACGCTCCTTTTGCTTTTGGCAGATTGGAAAACCAGCCGATTAAAAAACAATAAACAATCTGAAGCTTGTTATGGATATGAATACAAAAGACATATGTAATACATCAAAATATAAATCTGAACACCTCAGACAATATATGGACATCCTGTAGATTTGCGAAAGTGAAAGCAGACACTTCTTAAAAATCATTCTATTTCTAAAAACAATCCCTTGAAAGTAGTTAAATGGAGACTATGATTAAAGAGAATGCATAGTCTATCATATCTGTAATTTATCATTGGATAAAGATTAAGCCATACATGCAGAAGGAGTGTAAGAAAAACTAAGTATATGGTTTCTTAATAATGACAGCCAAGTAGTTTCTGTATATTTGTAGAACTGAGGTTCTATTAATTTAATTCTAAGACTTGGTATAGAACAGATTTCTGACCCTGAGCTGCAGGAATGCACATGGCATCTGTTTGGAGTAAACTATAGATGCTTTACACCAGGGAAACCAATCCAAACTGCTCTACATACAAGTTGCTGTTTATCATTTTCATGACTGTGCTACAAAATACATTTTTTAACTGACAAAATTAACAATTTTGGAAGTGGGAACAATCTCATTATTTTTTAAAATCATTTTCAGTTGGAGATGAGATGAGAGCAGTCTGAAAAATTCTTCTAAAAATGAAGATACGTTGCAGGGAGAACAAGTGTCCAGCCTGGCCTCCCAGCCTTATTACAGTATGGCTTTGAGCTTCCCAGTTTAATATAAAAGATTGTTGGTGTCGTATGCACTAAAAAAACACCAATTTAAAATGGTCTCATCAATAATAAATTACAAGTAAAAGAGTAGAAGAAAAAGGACACTGACTCTGATGAGGCAGGAAACTGAATCTCCAATGGGATGGAGCTGAGATTTTGTTTTCCAATCACCAATATGGTCCATCATTAAAACAGAAGACTATAATTACAAGATTAGATTCTGTGACCAAACCGAATGTAAAAGAACACCCACTGAAACACCACATCCCTTAAATCTTTGCAAGCGAGGGGGGCGTTTGACAAGCAATCTTTTAGATGGGGAATCTGGTCATATTGCACTAATCAGTAACAGATCAGAGGCTTTGATGGACACAGTTTAAGTAAATGTTTCCATGCATCTGTCAGGCTTCCTATGCCAGGCATTCCGTGTGGTTTTTGCGCCGTGCATTTTTGGAAATCCTTGTTCTGAATCAACATCGCGGCAAAACTGACAGCTGACCCCAACTTTTTATGGATTTGGCAGAGGAGGGGGGTCTCATGTTTTTTCAATCAAATGTCCTGAAACCGGGAAACTGTGACCACATGCCCGTGTAGACAAGACTGATAGAGATATGAACATCACTCGTGTATGTTCTTAAGTGTCAGATAGAAGGGGATGACTTCTGCCTCTGGAAAGGCCAGGAGCCAGGAAAAAAAGCTGCACGACTAAAGTTTTATACAACAAAGACACACGCTTTCTCCCAGCAAGTCAGGCTTTCATTAATTGGCCTAGAGGATTCATGTCTGGACTATTAGAGATGTGTTAATAAGATCTGTTTGAAATGTACCCTTACTTTCCTCGGTTTCTTTTGATTTTTAGATCAGCAGAACTTCAAAAGGGCAGAGTTTTTAAGGCTCATTTAAAAGGACTTGCTTTGTCTCAGTGAGCAAAGGATTAACACTTAAATACTGACGACAGCATACAATACTTACCATATGCGCAAGGATTAGAGGGGAGACTTTTTCCTGTTTGCCATATGCTCGAGATGACCTAAGAAAAAGTTTCTCATCCTAGAAGCCAGTCTAAGGCCTCTAGGATGAGAAACTCCCTAAAATGTGCATTGTTTCCAAACCCTACATCGCCATATGTTAACCTTTTTCCACTTTTAGTTTGAAAGATTGTTATGAAGTCTCACGGCATTCGCAGTTATTTAAGTCAAGTTGGCTAATGGCTGCATAAGACACATGTTTATTTTTCTCCTTTCCTGATGTGGTTTAGAGAAGATATAGAAAATTACAGGACGGGATATTAGCAGTGAATGTAAGTTCCCATTTTTAAGAACATGCCACTGCTTGCAATACTTGACTTAAAACTCAGATATGTTTGGATTAGCCTTTTTCACAGAGATCAGCTGGATAAAAAAGGATCTGTGCCTGTGACAGCAAGTCATCAGGACAATTATAACCTTTGAGAAGCATCATTAGGGGATAAAAATGCCGTTTTGTGTTCATGTGCCCACAGAAGCAGAAGTATGCAGCTGCCTAACATTTTGTTCCTAAAAATAGTTTTATTTTGTAGACTTAACATTCAAACTAAGGAACTAGCCAATCAAGATGCATGTACTATAAAACAACGAGCCCTAGAGGGAATGCAGATGATGGGATTAGACACTTGGTCGCAAAAAGACAGCTGGTTTAATGGCTTTGATCAGCTGGAATAAATAGACAAAAACTTCAAAAGATGCAGTCACCTTTTATGCGATCGGCACGTATCAATATATTTAAGAAGAATCCTGGTTTGCTTTTACAGAATCCATCAAAATAAACAGTGGAAAGCCAAATGGATTGCTTCCATTTGCAGAAACAACTGGAATCCAGGTTAGAAAAGGTGGATTTGGAGTAAATGCTTTGTTCGTCAATATATTAGATTCATGACGATATGTAATTAGCGACCATTAAGGTGACATGACATAGACTTGATCAGCGATTTCGCATCGACCGTTTATCGTTCATTTGACACCAGAGTTTTCCTCTGTTTACTGAAAATAACCAAGTGTAACGTTTTGGAAGAGAGTTTCATGTTAGGTAGTCTTTACCTCCTCACAGGAACAATTATAAATCCACTCTGCAACTTAACTTTGTAAAGAAAGTGACTTAACACTGTGCTCCAAACGTGTTCAAGTCAAGGTTTTACTGATGTTGGACATATGATTAAATCACACTCTTATCCTCCTTTGTCTTTTTGAAATTGAGGTTTAGAAGTCAAACTTTTTGCCAGCGCTATTAATCAAGGGGGGTAATAGGGTCAAAAAATCTTCAATAACACACACTGGTGGCAAAAAGGGGTCTCCGAAGGCATTTGAACTGTTTGGCAACTGCATTGCACTGCATGTGTGGCATGGGCTGCAATATGAACACAAAGGCTATCATTTATTCCACTTATACAGGTTTTTATGCCAAAGATTTAACTAAATTTCAAATACTATAAGATCTGGACACAGGTTTGCAGATTGCATGCCAGCAACTGCGAATGGCAAAAGTCATTTTGCGTCCCTCAGATACAGACTAATTCAGCCATGGTTTTTAAATGCTTAGGCTAAATGAGCCGAAATCCTCTTTAATGACGTGTGTTTGTATCCCTCGATCGCCCCGCAGGTTCTGGAAGAGAGGATGAAGCTGGAGTGCAAGTGCCACGGCGTGTCGGGCTCCTGCACCACCAAGACCTGCTGGACCACCCTCCCCAAGTTCCGCGAGATCGGCTACGTGCTCAAGGACAAGTACAACGAGGCGGTGCACGTGGAGGTGGTGCGCGCCTCCCGCCTGCGGCAGCCCACCCACCTCAAGGTGAAGCAGACTCAGGGCTACCGCAAGCCCATGGAGACGGACCTCGTCTTCATCGAGCGGTCGCCCAACTACTGCGAGGAGGACGCGGCCACGGGGAGCGTGGGCACCCAGGGACGCCTGTGCAACCGCACCTCGCCGCACACGGACGGCTGCGACCTGATGTGCTGCGGGCGGGGCTACAACACGCACCAGTACACCAAAGTGTGGCAGTGCAACTGTAAGTTCCAGTGGTGCTGCTTCGTCAAGTGCAACACGTGCAGCGAGCGGACGGAGGTGTTCACCTGCAAATAGCCGCGCCACGGGGGGGGGGGGAGGGCGAGCCCGAGCCCGGCGCGGGGAGAGAGGGGAAAGGAGGGGGAGACCCCCCCCCCCCCCCCCCCCCCCCTGCGCGTGGGGGCCGGACGACAGTGAGCATCGAGAGATTTCTTGAAACTGAACAAACAGAGTTTTTTTTTTTTTTTACACTATCAGCTCTTCATGGCATTGTTTTGCACAGCAGAATCTTATCTAATTGCTTTTTTTTCGAAAAAAGTCGTTCCTTGAAATATCAGTAGGTAATAGCCCGGAACTTTACTGTTGCCCGTGTACCGATGTATCCACGGTGAAGTTGGGACTAACCGTAAGGAATGAGGGGGGGCCCTCGATGGGAACTGTGCTTTGCACTCTGGGATTCGTAACGGCTCAGTTCACACGAGACTGGCAAGGAGAGGAACTCGGAGCAATTTGGGAGCTAATTCAAATGTCAGCAGCTGATGTGAGGTGACTGGGTGAGATCTGTCATATCGTTGGCAAAACACGTATAGATTTTGTCGAAATTTTCACTAAAGGGGAGCTTAAATTAATCTTGACACGGACCCCCGTAGAGTTTCGGGGGTCCGTGTCAGCGGTCTGTGGAAATGAAGAACATTTTGTACATGCGGTGCATCTTGTTGCACCAAAATATGAGTGGAGAACTCTGTTAAACCCTCTGCTGCCAACTGGAATAAGGTGGAGTATGTTAGTTTTCCAGTAACACTGGAACTGTCTGTTCTGAACACTGAAAATAAATTGTCTATTTATGTTGTAGTATCTTAAAACAAAGCACTAACGGGTAGAGATGTCCTTTTTTTTGTACTAAATGTAAAGAAAGATACTTTTTAGAAACTCTGACTGAAGGTGTGTTTCTGTTAGAAAATGACCCATCACTCCCTTAAACACTTAATGTTTTCTTTTTAAAAAAAACATAAAGGAAGAATGACAGCAAATCCTCACTGGTTCTGGTCTGTTGACAGCACAATGCATCATTCCAGTGTGTCTTACATTCCAACACCTTGATTCTGGTTTATTGTAGCATAGTTTGTTTGCTGACCTATTTCACCCCGAGCAGTTTCGATCTTTTTGGATGGTTTTGTGGGCATCCGTTAATAGTCAGTGGAGAGAAGACTCATTTAACTGGAGGAGATCCTCCTCACCTCATCAGACAAGAACATTGAAAGTGTGCTGGATGTGTTATCGAGTGCTAAACTCATTTTCTATTCAGATACCACTGATGAACTAAATAAACTCCCGTTTGACAAAGTTTGACAGTTTATGTCTCCAACATGCAGACTTTATAGTTTCCTTTAACACAGAGATCTGTTCGTTCACATTTACTTTTGAACTAAATGGTGCCATTGGACTGTGTTTTTCTCTGGTTTAGAGATGTAAGGGGTTTCTTTGTCCAAATTTGGATCTGGTTTTAGGAAATACAAAGAAATTGCTATCAGTTTTTATCACTTTGTACTCGCAATGGTTGTTGTCGAGAGTCAGGTACATGCTTACACTATTACATGTCAGTAGATCTCATGATAAATCATTGCACAAAACCCACAATTAAAAGTAAAACAAAGTATGTGGAAACTGAACAATTATGAGGTGAAGATCTTGTAATTTTACAGACTTTTTTCTCCTTAAACAAAGGCTAATTTTGGAGGCCGTTATAAATGACAGGAAGGGAAACTTAAAAAAAGAAAAGAAAAAAGGAGTTGTGTGGAATCAACAGATTTAGCAATAAGACTCAAAAGAGTCAGCTTGTTATCACATTTAACTCCCTCTAAGACCTTCAATTATTGCCTTTAAAACCCGGTACGCAGATTTGGCAGAAGGGAAACACTGAAGTCATTGTGTAGCTTCGGTGCAGGTAGGTTTCTAAATTTGGAAAGAGAGTGCAAATAGTTTTTCAGCTCAGCAAAGCATCTCCTGAGTGAGGCTTTAATCCTCTCGCATACCAGTCCTCAAGAAATGTCCAGAAATGTCAATCTAGCTCTCAAATCCTTGCAGCATGAACGGTGGTTTGAAAATGTCATGTCATTTTGGGTACGGAGGTTAGAAGTTATTTTCCTTCGTCAAATCGTGCTGTCGTCATCTATGTAGCTAAATATGTGGGGGAGGTTTACAAACTGTACAGGGCGGGGTCTGATTTGAATTCAGATCAATTCATCTTGTGTAGGATAAGTTGCGCACACCAGTAGCTACATTTTTTAGTTAAGTGCAGCCTGATTTGTTGCATTTCGCACATCTCGTGTAATTTACTACATAGTTTTTTATTTCTTTTTTTAAAAATCACTATTGACTCGACACACCAAGCCCACTTTCCTCTTGACATCAATATTTATCTCTGTACTAACTCAAATATGTGAGAAAACACATTTTTCTGGAGCCTTTAAAAAATGTGTTTCCTTTCAGAAGGATAGAAATTGAATTCCCCGCATAAAAAAAGTTGCTATGTCTTTGATTTGACGTGGAGGTCTGATTATGAAACACAGATGAGAACTCATCCTTGAACTGTGAGTTAGGAATTTGCATTCTTAATTTTATTGCTTAATGCCTGTTGGTACACGATGGTTCCTGCTCAGTGCTTAGCTTGCCCGTATCGACTGTTCTATAAAAGCATCCCGAGTTATTATTTGCATAAATTTCCCCCTTTGAAGAAATGCACAAGCGCATACGACTGGCAAAAGCATTGGGAAGCATAAATCATTAAAAGTCAAAAATAAATAAATCAAGCAACGAGCTGGTTTGGATGTTGTTTTGTACACAGCACATGTTCGTGATATGCTGCGGTTTTCTGTCCTGATTGTGGCACGCATGAAACAGAACTCAATTATCTCCCCTCGCATGGAAAGGGGCTTCTTCTGCGTGTCTGTGTACGGGGGGATGTGATCAGAATTACAAAAAGAAGAGCAAGATATAAGGAGGGATCATCGAAAAACCACTTACAATGAAGCACATCATTCAAACATGCGGAGAGAAACGTTTCTGGGAACCTGTAAAATGTGATTTGACTTTTTTTTAGATTAGACCTGGTTATTTCATAAGGACGAAGAGTTATTGGTTTTGATCAAAACTCTTGGGTGGAAGAGCAGATTATATCAGTTATATCCTCAAACCAATAAACGCTACATTTGATAATGAGGCGAGGCTGATTACCGAAAGGATAATTAGCTAAGCGCTTGAGCTTCTCGTGCTTTCTGTACTGGCAGAGCTGTTTAGAGGCCCTAAATGAGAAAAGGAGCTTCATGCAAATGACCCGCCGTGAATAGGAAGTGGCTCAGTGTGCCTCTTGTTTTCTGGACACACAAACAAGAGTGTAGCTGTTTTGTGAGAGTGTTTTTTGAGACGGATGGGATGGCTCGATGAAAGGAGGTGCATGTGTAGCCGGAAACGGCGAGTGAAAAGAGCGGTTATTTAGGAGAGGAGCTAATTGAGAGCGGTCTGGAGAAAGAGCGAGCACACCGTGTAAGTAGCGGCAGCTGCTGAGGAGTTGGGGACTGCGTGCAAAGTGGAAAGAAAGATTGTTGGAGTTCGAGTTTTCAGAGATGGGGAAAAAGGTCGAAAACTCAAAATTCTGCACTATGTTTGTGGTTCTCGTCAGCTTTGTGGCTTTTCACTGTTTTTGTGGCCTCAGAAACTGGTAGGCGTCGGATAATTAGCATTGATGAAGGTTTCATTTGGCATTTCCCATTGACACCGAACATAAATGACCATTTCGGGTGCTATCCGTGTCAGTTGTTCGGTCCTGTGCTTTCTATGAAGCGTTTCTGTGAAAGAGAGCCGTGCTACTTCCCTCATTTGCTGGACACTCACACTTGTCCTCCCGTATGTGAACGGCATTGTAGGTGGGTAGCAGAGCAGAAGTAAGACGTGTTTTGTTAGTTGTCTGAAGCCCAAGGGGGCCGGAACCGCGTAAGCTCCCCCATATTATGCCCTGGATTGAGAAAAATCAATCCATTTGTTTCCGACAAACATTTTGTCATTAAAAAATATGAGATACAAAAACAAAGTCTGCTGTGTGTGCCTTCTTCTAAAGCGGCCATTGTTTGGGGTGTCAGGATCATTAGTTCATTGGGATATATTTTGCAAGCTAATGCTTGTGGTCTAATTCAGGCCGAGAGCAACACATTCTCCCACTTTTCCAATCCAGAGCCCTGTTGGAACAACAAAAACAGATGATGTTTTGTTTTGCGTTTTTCATATATGACAATTCTCTGCCATGGCCATGAATTATTGATGCAGAATGGTTTGTGAAATGTAACTATTCAGAGCCCTTTTGCATTGCTTTTGGAGTTGGGAATTCTTTGTAAGTACAAAGGGGATATAAAGAATCTGGCTATGCTTCAGGACAGAGACCTGAAAAAGGCAATGTATGCAAGTGGATGTCTCAATGAAATTGTAAAGAAAAAAATACTGTTATTCTATTTTGAATGACGATTATTTTCAATAGCAATCCGAATAATGACCTGGCTCATGGCCAAAGTAAATAGAGAAATACATTTGTTCAAGACATGAGTTGAGAAAACATTATGTACAATATCTGATGGCACCCAGCGTGAGTAGTCAGCCAAGTCTTTTTCTTTTCTGCCCTCTTTTGCCCTCTCAAATTCCTTTGACTTTGCTCCAATCTTCTGCCTTGTTTTGTGATTTGTAACTTTGAAAGAACACTCAGCCTAGGCTGGCCCCTCAGAGATAAGACACACCTGCTATATGGAGAAGAAGGAAGAAAGACTGGCAAATAAATCACCCAAATGGAGAAATGAACATTTTAATTAAGTTGTCAAATGTCTACTAACCCTTTTTCTTCTAAGATTAGCCAGGCACAAAGAGAGAGAAAAAAAAGTTGCATTTAAGCAGACTACATCACAGGATGGCGGCTTATTCTTTTGCAATCCTCTAAATCTTTTTCTTCCAGGATGTAAAATCTGTGGTTAATAGAGGATGAAATGGTAAAGTGTAACTTTGCAGCAAATGTTCTCACAGGAAATACATTGATTCAG